CAAGAGCTAAATTGACTGCCTGCTAAAAAAATAAAAATCTTCCACATGGATTTTAATAGGGTCCAGGATCTCACAATGTAATTGCTTTTCATTCAAAAAAGTAGAAAAATGTAGCTATACTGTCTCAAATTCTTACCTATGAAATAATAAAAGATAAAATACAAGATTAAATATGCAATAAAGCTAGAATCTGTGGAACAACAAGCCACAGAAATACATCCTGAGGTATTCCAATTATTAGACACAAATTACAATATAACTATGTTAACAGCTTAAAACATTTAAGCAAAAAAATTTAAATTCTATGTAATAATACTATAGAATTTTAAACAACCAGCTAAAACTTAACCAGAAAATATGATACAAAAATTAAATCATCAACTGATGAATTTTAGGATAGGAATCAGCTAAATAGAGAATTACTGAGATGAAAGAAAAGTTAAAAGAAAGTATTCTGAATAGAGCATGCGAAGACAAAAAGATGAAAACTACATAGAGAACAAGAAATACTGAAGATACAGAATAGCCTCATTATTGTCACTTAAAAGTATTAAACAGGGGCTGATGATTTAGCTCAGAGGCATAAGCACCTGTCTGGGAAGTGCAAGGTCTTGAGTTCAATTTTCTGGTGCCAAAAAAAAAAAAAAAAAATGAACAGGGCTGGGAATAAAGCTCAGCGACATAAACACCTGGCAAGTGAAGGGTCCTAAATTCAATACCTGACACCAAAAAAAAAAAAAAACTATACACACACACACACACACACACACACACACCCTGTAGATCTGCAATATTTCCTCTGCCTGAAATCTATCCCCAGATAGCTACATGGTTCATTCTGTCAGATCTTTGAAAAAATATCACTTAAAAAAATTCCTTTCACACAACCCCAAAATATTTTCTCAAGAAGGTATCACCACCTAACATTTTTTTTCTTCACTTTTGGTCTATGTCCTACTGAATATATATTCCATAACAGTAGAAACTGTTCATTGCTGTTTTCCTTATCATCTAGAACATTTCCTTACACATACTAACACTAAAAAAAAAAGAAGAAAGGAAATTACAACAAAAAGACCTGTCAACAACTTAAGACAAGAATTTTTATGGTGCAATAATAAGGCAAATATTAAGAATTTTTTAAGTTATCTATATGTACATCAAGACATACATTGTTTAAGAGTTTACATCTAAAAACAACAGTAAAAGATTCTTCACACCTCTCCCACAACTCATCACAAACTTAAAGAGCTAAGTACAAAACAGGAAAAAACTAGCAGCCCATCTGCCTGGCACAATTTACTTTCTGCAAGATAGTTAATTTACTGTCCTCTATCTCAACCATTTGCTTTTCACCATTCATTTTCTCATAATAGGATAACAGAATGTATTGAAAAAGCTGGTGTTGGGGTGGTACATTCTGGAAGGTTTACATAATTCTAAAAAGCAAAATACTACAAGTAGGAGCCAAGAATAAAGAACCTAGTGATTGGGGGCTGGGGATTTAGCTCATCGGCATAAGCGCCTGCCTTGTAAGCAGGCAGTCGTGAGTTCGATCCCTGGTACCGATAAAAGGAAAAAGACAAAAAAAAAAAAAGAACCTAGTGATAGAAAATAATACCAGTAATAAAAGTTTCTAAACTGATTATGGTGGTAAATGCCTATAATCTTAAATATTGAGGAGGCTGAGGCAAGAACTTAGGCAAGTTAATAGACATTATCACAAACTAAAAACTAGAGATACAATTAAGGTTTTTTTAAGGTAAGGCTTTATTAATTCAGGATCAGCTTAGAGTGACACTGGCATAGTCAGGGACAATTATTATCTCATTACAGTTTACCTTTGGTACTCAGTTGAAGTACTAGTTTTCCAAGTAGGACATGTTCCAGCCCCAGTATTACAAAACAGAATTACTAAAAGCTAAATGACTAATATTTATTGAACACTTTGAACTGTTTTAAGCATTTTATATTTATTAGCTAATTTAATTCTCAAAACAAGATTAAGAGATATTTTAATAAACAATGACACCCTGATGTGGAGGAATGTGCACTTGGGAGGCTGAGGCAGGAGAATCACTCTGAATTTAAGGCCAGCCTTGGACTACATGTAAGTCCAGGTCCAGCCTACACTAGATAATGAGACCTGATCTCAAAAATAAATAAGTAAATAAACAATGACAGGGAGATTACATAATTTAGTTAATCAAGTAGAAATTTTGAAAGTTGAAATTTGAGCACAGACTAAATTTGAAGCCCAGGCTGTTACACAGTAAACTGTACCGTATGAATTAAGATGCTTAACTAAGAAATAATGTGTATATTAAAAAAGCAGGTAAGTAGAATTTCCCACTGGATCCTTGGCAGAAATAAAGTAGATCTTAATGTCAAATTAATGGCAAGCAAAGACTATTATTTTTTATAATCAGTTATTTTTTTCACCAAAAGAAAAAAATTCCCACTTTACAATTAAAAATCAAAACATACATAAAGTAACATCTTCTGTACACACATCACAACTTTATCAGAAGACTGAAGAGAAACTTGAGAATCCTACTATTTGAAAATAAACATTTAACCATTGGTAAGTACAGTCATGTGTCACTTAAAGACAAGGGTACACAATGAGAATCGTATCACTGTATGAACAGTATAGAATGTGCTTACATAAACCTCGATAGTATATAACCTACTACACACCTAAACTACTGAGCTACTGCTCCTAAATTACAAACCTGTTTGGCATAGCACTGCACTAAATACTATAAGCAATTGTAACACAATGATAAAAATTTGTGTATCTAAATATAGAAAAATGTAGGAAAAATACAGCATAAAAGATTACCTACATAGGGTATTTACCACGAATGGAGCTTAAAGGACTGGAACTTGCTAGGTAATTCAGTGAGTCAGTGAGTAAGTGGTTAAGTGTGGAGACTTAAGACATTAACTATTACTCTCTTCATAAAGACTGTTCACGTAGGCTATATGTTAAATTTACAAAAATATTCTCTCTCCAATAAGTTAGCTCACTATAACTCATTTAAACAGTGTTTTTAATTTTTGACTTTTATAATAACACTAAGCTTAAAACAAAATCAAATTGCATAACTCTACAAAAATACACCTTAACTTTTTTGTTCAAAACTAAGATGAAACATGCATATGTGATAAGCCTACACAGGATCAAGATTATGAATATCACTGTCTTACACTTCCACATCTTGTCCTCCTAAAGGTCTTCAGAAGCAATAACACACATAGAACTGTCATCTATAATAACAATGCCTTTTCTAGGTTGCCTCCTGAAAAACTTGCCTGAGGCTGTTTTACAATTCATTCTTTAAGTAGAAAGTGCATATTCATTATTGATTAGAAGTAAAGAAAAATAAATACATAAAGCAGGAACATAGTTGTTATCATCATCAGGTATTGTGTACTGAACATAATTTTATGTGCCATACTTTCACTCAACCGGCAGTGCAGGTTAATTTACACCAAAATTACCACAAATACATGAGTAAAGCATCTGCTGTATTATCAAACATTATATCATTAGGTGAGAAAAATCTTTCAGCTCCATTATAATCTTTGTTTTCATCAGTTCAGGAGTTGGAATCTTGGACCTAGCACATGCTAACAAAGCATTGTACCTTTTATTTATGTATGTATGTATGTATGTATGTATGTATTTAAAGAGAAAGGAAAAAAACATGGAGAAAAAAGGGTAAAACTAATACAGAACTACAGAAAAATAAACAGTAAGAAATCACCAGTTGATAAGTTACATATGGCATCTTAGAAATAGTTGTTCAGGTTACAAAATTAAAGTATGTAAAGTGACATTCAAATGGTGATTCTGCCAACAGTTCTGCTCAATGATCGAACAAAAACTTCGTAATATGGTTATCAGTCCTACACACTTGTTTATCTCAAAGAGGGTAAGATCAAACATATCAAAACAGGACAAAACAGTTCAAAAAGAAACAATTTAAAGAAATACAGATTTCAAAGCAAGTCCACTGGAAATCTTCACTGTCTTATCTTATTGTCTCTAGTTTTCTTCCAAATAGTTATCCCCATCTTCACACACATTAAATACATACCGCATATTACAGAACTAATCAAATCATTACAGAATGATGAAGGCTTTTTAGGTCTTCAAGATCTGACACTGGGGAAGACAATAATGACTACCATAGTGTCTCTCATTTTCTTCATAGCAGCCATCCTTATCCTTAGATAAGGATAAAGCATTGTACCTTTTAAGCTACATCCACAGCCACCATTACAATTTTATGAGACCAATGTAATATATAGAGTCCATTGTTGACCCAACCATCATTTAATAGTGTATGACTCCGTCATATTACCACATTCCTCCATCATATTATCTATAACAACTATGGCTATATGTTTTATTCTTGACTCAATTTCTGATTGTTCGCCATAGAAGAGAATGTTAAGTCTGAAACTTATACTTTACCTCAATAAGGATTAACCATAAATGCCAAGTGAAATACATGGCTTTTGCTTTCTTCATTTTTTTTTTTTATTTGAGACAGGGTCTCACTATGTAGTAGGCTGGCACTGAGCTCACTATATAGCCCAGGCTAACCTTGAACTTGAAGCAATTATCCTGCCTCAGACTCCAAAGTGCTGGGATTATAGGCATGCACCTCCAAACCCAATATCATTACCTTTTTTAAAAGCTTCCTGATAGTTTAAAACTTAAGGAACTAAGAATTTAGTTACTGCTTATAGAAAAAAACTGAGGCATATAAATCTTATTCAGTCAAAATTAATTACAAATAATCAAAAGACAGTATTTTTTTTTGTACTCCTGTCACTAAGTTAATGATAAATTGAGTCTGGGGATATAACTCAGGGGCATAAGCACCTGCCTGGCAAGTGAGAGACCATAAATGCAATCCCTGGTGTCAAAATAATAAAAATAATAACAAATTGATAAAATCATATAAAACAAGAAAGATACTTGCATTTCTTTGTCTTTTCCACAGATCTATTACATGATTCCTGGAGAACATTACATAAATGCCTTGTAGCATTATTCCTAAAATAAAGAAAACCATTTGTCTAAGTGTAATCTGATCTGAAAGTTAAATCATGTGCAAAAGTTATGAAATACAATTTTTTAATTTTTTAAGAAAAGTTTAAAGTTTTGCATTTTAAAAATTTTTAAATGTCTAAATGTATCACACACAAATGACTATACAAAATGGTAGACTGACTGTAAGTACTATTAGCAAAGATAATCTAGTAACTCCCTGTAAGCTAAAGTGATAACTCCTTAAGTTTCTACTCAAATTGCTATTCATAATTTTTTGAGAAATAACAGAATATAGGTTATTACACACAAATAATAAGACATGTTAGGCTTTTCATTTACTAAATGTCCAAAAGATTTTTTAGATGTCTAACCTTCAAAACAAAAATAAAGATAACTTATTATGTGAATAAGACCTTTAGCTGCCTTCTCAAACTACAGCAGCTAGACATCATTTTCCAACTTAAAATTTTTCTGTAGAAATGAATTTTTACACTGGAAAAAAACAGGAATTCTAAGCTCGAAACTAAGCTGAGTTCTATTTCACAAATGTTGTGCCTATGGCAATAGTGCAATGGAAAGGCAGACAATATATAAAAGCAATTATGGATATTAAGTTATCAAGTGTCTTTTTTGATACCGAATAAGGATTCTTTCGGATATTTTACATTTTAAAACGTTGTAAGTTACTGAACAGTGACCATCAACTTGCCAAATGCAAGAAATGCAGAATGGAAAAAAATTTAAAAAAAAAAAGAATGCAGAATGCATTATGTACTTTTTTCCACAGCCTTCATATAGAATTCCACTTACAATAAATATACTATAACACAAAAAGTAGTTAATAATTTTTTAAACTGTTTTAATAATTTGGAAAAAATTTTCTATATTACTTACTCTTTTATTAATTCTTTATTTTCTTGAATTTCTGCATCTAATTTCAAACTTACTCTTTCATTTTCAAACTAATTTATAAAACAAAAGAACAGTTCATCACTTTTTGCTTAGTAAAATAAACAAAAGTATAATCATTAAACATCTCTTTAATAACATACCATAGTAGCCTATAAGAATTCTTTTCTTTCTGTACAAAAGAAATTTTTTTTTGTCACAGATTATGTATTCCCATTAGAATATGGGTCTCACTTTCTGCAATCTAAAATAAAACTTGCTGATATACAAAAAACATTCAAGCTGGTGTGGAGCACACCTGTAATCCCACCACTCTGGAGATTGAGGCAGGGGGATCGTTGTGAATTCGAGACCAGCCTGGATTACAAAGTGAGCCAACCTGAACTGCTTAGTGAGACCTTGCTTCAAGAAAGACCAAAAAATAAAAAAGCACTCAACAATATACTAATGCAATATTATTTTCTTTTTTTTGAAGCAAATCTGTCTGATTTTCTCAACATTTTTATTTTGTGCTATAAATCAAAGCTAAAAAGCTTCAAAGTTTTACATATAAACATTCTAATAAAGGCAATTTAGATCAAATAAAATGGTAATAAGAATTAGTAAAAATTTACATCATCAATAAATCAGCATCATTAAATCAGGCCTTATCTAAATAATTTCCCTAATTTATATTATGCTTTGTAATCTTGTTTTCTGTGCTCATTACTCAAGTTAAACTGCAATTAGTATCAATGAAACTTTAAAAACCACTATCCCTCAAAAGTTCCCATTATAAAAACAAGTTAACACTATTTATGTTGAAATAATATTCTATTTACTATTATTCAAAATTTCATTATACCTGCAGCTCCTTAATAGCTTTGCGTAGTGCTTCAATGATCTTTCTATTTTCTTGCAACTTATTTTCCTTCTGCTTCAGTTCAGATTCTACAGTCACTTTCCACTTTTTAATCTTCTCAGCTTCCTTATATAGCTTTGAGTACATTCTGCTCATGGGCTCTGAATTCTGTTAAAACATCCTTGCAAATATCAGTTTATCAAAATATCCAAAATTATAACCCAACTACAGCTTCCCATGTACACATACTAATGGCAACCAACTGTCTCTTCAATTTACACTCTAATACCAAAATAAAAGCTACCTTAACTCTTTCAAATTGCTAAGGCAGAAAGATCTCAATGCCCTCTTTCACAACAGTTCAGTCACCACTCAAATTAAGAAATTAAATCAAAGACAAATTTTCATTAGTCAGAAGAGAAAAAACGTAATTCAACCTTGGATAAATTAGAATTCTAAGCAAAGTAAAGTTAAATTACTAAAGCAATACCAGTTATTTCACTAAAATTACTGACCACTTTATTAAATTATACTTTGGTGAATAAAATTAAATGACTGAAATGTACTTAATACGTTAGAAACATCTTAGACAATGAGACTCTGGCTGGGTAAAATCTAAAATAAATCACTCTCCAAAAAAACTTTATAAATCTTAAAAATAGTCTTGAAATGTTTTAATTAAAATTCTAAGGTTAACCTCAAGAACATGAAATTTTAAAAATGACAAAAATAACAGTGAATATAAGAAACAACCTTCATTGAGCTTGAAGTTTTGTTTAGATTTCTAGTCATTTTACTTACATCATACTGTAAAGGCCAGAGGAGGTTTTGTGTGTGTATGTGTGTGTGCGTTTGGGAGAGTTCAGTGTTAAATATCAAACCCAGGACCTTTTGCATGCTAGGCAAGTGCTCTACTACTAAAGCTCCGCCCTTCAGGCCTTTAAAAAAAAAAAAAAAAAAACTGATTTCTGCTTGCTAAGAGCTGTTTTTCAAAATACTTAACTGGTTCCTTATTTTTAAATTCTGATACAATAATCACAGCAATAAACATATAGTACTTTATAAGGCTACTGAATTTTCCTTCATTTAAAAGATATTAATACCTGTACCTACTATGAATATTTTTGTAACAAACATCAAAGGTACAGTATATCCTACAAATGCCTTACACAATAAATCTGCCAAATGATTCATCTATTAATTCAAAGATTGGCCTGATTCTCAGCCTTTTTACATACTGTATCCACTGCCTTATTCTTAATTTATATGATTTAAAATTAAACTGTTTTTTTTAAAAATGACTACTTTTATAACTCCGGAAAATACATAAGCCTAGTATTTCAGTGACATTAAAAGAAAAACAAAGCAAAAATAAGCCTTTAAAAGAATGTATTTGAAAACAATATTAATCCTTTTGTAACTTCAAAACCCATAAATAATAAATCATAAATAAATGATCGTACTCCAGTTATACAAATCTGACCTCAAAATCCGAGTCTCTTAGTCCTTCCTGATAGTGGCAACTGCCAGAATTATCAACCTAAAAAATGAGTATTTTTCTATTAAAAAATAAGTTTGAGAGTTCACAAATAATTGCAATTAAATACACAAGACTAGTAATTCAATAACCAGAGTTTTTCTTCTTCAAATAAGAGATCAATACCTGCTAATGAAACAGAAATCCTGACTTAACTGCAGCCACTTTGTTCAATAAAGCTGGCAGGCATTCTGTTCTCCACCACTGAATTCAGCTAAATATGATTTATTATCGAATTCAAACTTCTGTGAATGTGCTAAAAACAACTTGGTTACATGTAACTACGCTCAGCAACATACACCTATTGTATCATAGCCTTAAATCTAAGGCTTATCGCTCTCTTCTAACTTTTGTTTGCCACCCTATAAAAAAGACAAGCTCTCTGTAATCAACACCTCAGATTTAGGAGATTACTCCTCTGGGGCCTGCTAGTGTCAAAATTTCCTTTCTTCTTTTGAGCTCCTGGCTACTACTGACGCAATTATCTTGAAACACTAGAACTGTATCGTACACTCTGCTTAACTGACCTGCTCAAGCATAGGCAAACAGTTAACATTTCGTAAAGCAGGATCTGCAAGATAAAAGCAGTATTAAAAAGAGAAACAGTATTAAATATGCCAACATATTAGTTTTGTTAATTATGCATAGGTTTAATATCAAGACTATCAATACATAGATTGCTAATAACTGGCAATATTTATAATAAAATGATTCTGTGTAAACCAATATGTTATTTTTCAGGACCTTACCTGAATCAAGGTTTTCCCCATTTCTGGAGAGATGAGTTACTGCAAATGGAAAACCAAACTCATCTTCAATACATTTGTTGAACCTCTAGAAAAAGAAAAGACGTTCTTAAATATACTTTAACATCTAGCAATGTAATACACAAATACACAATACATATCTGCCTAAGTAGTAAATGTACTTATAAATTCTTTAACGCACAGTATTTAAAATTTCCGATAATTTTACAATGTAAACAAGGCAAAATTATTTTTACGGGTAAATAAAACTTAGCTAAAAATTACTTAACAAAAATAGCAATTTTAACCAGTAGTACAGGATACTACTTCAGTTTCATTATGCTTTTTCTTTATATATATATCGGTACCAGGGATCAAACTCAGGACTGCTTGCTTGCAAGGCAGGCACTTGTGCCTGCTGAGCTAAATCCCCAGCCCCTCATTATGGTTTTTCAACAGAAATGACGACTATTGAAAAACAATAAAATTACATAGGTTTGGCTTTAGTAACCATAAAACGTTTACTGCAGCTAATAAATTTGAAATTTAGCACTCAGGCTGAGGCAGGATGATCACTTTGCCTTCGAGGTCAATGTGGCCTACACATGCAAGTTCAAGGCCAGCCTGCACTATACAAGATCACCGTCTCAAAAAACTTTTTTGAAATTAACTGTATCATTCTCCTTTCAATATAAAGTAGCACATGAGAAATCTGTAAAATAATTTAATAGCAAAAGCTTTGTCCCAACTGAGCAACTTGGTATAATTCCTGTCTCAACGCCATTTCTACTGTGTAAATTTTCTCTCTTTAACTTGCCCACCAGGAAGTTCAAAGCAAAACCTGAAACACTGCCATACTGATTACTACTTGTAGGTAAGCACTTGGCCAGAGTCCCAATTTTCCTCGGAAATTTTCCGAATTTAAATCTTACCCACACATGCAGACCATTTAAATGAGCTAAGCAAGCTCCCCGAAGCCAAGCGTGGTCACGCCCCGGCCCTCCCGCGAGTCTACCTGGAGGAAGTCGGCCGCGCTCTGTGGCTTCCCCGCCTGCGACCCCTGGCTGCTGCTTAGCCGCGGCGGCAGGAACAGCGCCAAGGGCTTCTGCTTCTCCATCTTCTCCTTCCCGGATGGAACTCTCTATTGCCCGGGGAGGGAGAAGGCGAGCCCCATTACTTCGTTGGAAAAGTTTATTCTCTGCTCAAAGGCGCCACCCGCGCCCAGCACTGTCGGCGGAGGAAACCCGCCGCGAGGCCATGGCTGCCTCAGCCCTCCGCCCTGTCCACCTCAGCCCTCCGCCCTCCCCGCCGTCCACCGCCGCCCCACACCCGCGAGACCCCCGAACCCGACCCCAGAGCCGCCCTAAAAGAAAGCCCGCGCCTCCTCCGCCCCGTCGGATCCCGCCCGTCGCCTGAGGGAACCGAGGGAACCCTGCACGCTCCAGAACTACCGCCGCCAAAGTGAAGGCGGCAGGAGCCAGAGCGTGGCCCGGCTCCTCAGCTTTAGGTTCCACCCTCAGGAAAAGAATTTGAGACTCCTGTCCTTACGCCTGAAAAGTTCGCAGGTGGACACCATGGGCCTACTGCCCACGTGAACTGCGTTTATGAGGCAGCGGAAAGAACCGAGAGCTCCCACCTCAGAACCCGCGCATAGCCAGGCGGAACGCTTCTTGGCAGGAGGCACGTGCCTGGGTCCTAACGGCTAAATAACGGTCGGTAGGCAGCGTGAGCTCGCGCGCAGGACCTATGTCTCGCGAGACTTAGCTCTCCCTGCCCCCAACGATTCTGTTTTTCCTCAGAGTTCTTTAGTTTTATTGTTGTCCAAAAAATAACAAAACAAAACAGAAATAGCCAAGAAAACCCGTCAGGCGTAAGGTAGATGAGCTGGAAAAAATAAAAAGACTATTTCTGCCTCCTAAGCACTCACAATCTTAGGTAGGTAACAGGTGTGCACTTACAGTGTTGCATAATCCTTTAATGATGGTTTTTACAGAATCACAGGCGCAAGTGGCACGGAAGGTGGCTTGGGAAGAAATGAGAGTTTGCGGGTGCTGTTTGCCTCTCACAGTTTCGCGGAATAGAGTGAACAGTGTTGGCTGGGCAAACAAAAGGGAAAGGATAGCTTTGAATGCGTGGGCAAAAGCACTGGAGTTGTGAAAGAGATTGGTAGGAGTCTAAGAACTGTAGTGTGTTTGAGAATCAATGGAGAAAACAAGAGTTGAGACTGCAGACACTAAGAACAGATATGGCGGCCCTGTGCAGAAGGATTTGGATTTTAGATTGTATCTCTTAGTCTTCAAGAGATTTTGAGCAGAAAGCGTGGCACGGTTACATTCAGAAGAAAATTTGTTAGCCTGAAGAATGGTTTGTTAGCATGAAGAATATGAGCCAAGAGTTAGACAATTTGGGAGGCGGTGTTTTGTTTGCTTTTTGTTATTGTTTGAGATAGGGTTTCATTAAGTTGCTCAGGTTGACCTTACATCAAGATCCTCCTGCCTCATCCTCCCCAGTGCTAGAATTACAGGCACTGCCACAGCCGCCAGTTTCTGGGAGACAGTTTTAACCGTATAGGTGAGATGAAAGGAAAGCTATGTCTGAGCAGGAGAAGAGCTGTCAACTGGAAAAGATATGAAAGAAGTAAAATGACTGGAAATCCTTAGTGTTTTAATAAGTAGAAAATGAAAGAGAGAAGTCAAAGATGACTGCTTGGTTTCAGGCTTGGGTAACTAGATAGGTTATCCTGGTGTTAACTACTTAAGTTTTAACAATAAAGTAATGAGTTCTGTGTTTTCTAACTTTCTCCAAGTAGCACAATTTAATTGATGCTTTTCTAAAGGATGTTAATAGTACTTTTAAAAATCCACTTTGTTTTGCATAAATTATCCAATGTCATAGTTTCTGCCAAAATCATAACATTTTTGTACTGGAATTGATGATCCAGTTCATTTTACTTCATTTTACATTTTAAGAAAATTGGTTTACCAATACAAAAAAAAAAAAGAGTAAGTGAAATGAACAGGCGCTTCACAGAAGAAGTACAAATGAGCAATGAATATATGAAGAAATGCTCAACATCACTGACCCCCAGAGAAATGCAAATTAAACCAACACTGAGATTTCATCTTACCCTAGAAAGGATGGCTATCATCAAGAAATCAAACAATGCTGGTGAGGCTGTGGGAAAGGGAAAGCTTTCACATTGTTGGTGGAATGTAAACTAGCACAACCTTTATGGAAATCCTCAAAAAATCTAGAGATTTCTCAAAAAAATCAAACTAAAATTAGAAATTCCATGCAATCCAGCTATTGTCTTTCTGTGTATCTTCCTGAAGAAGCTAAAGACATCACATTACAGCCATACATGTACACCTATGTTTATAGCAGCACAATTCATAGAAGCTATTTCTTGGAAGTAGTCTATATGTTCATCAACAGATGAAACATCAAAAAAATGTATTATATAATACACAATAGCCAGCTACTCTGTCATATAGAAAGATATACTGTGTCTGAGTCATTTATAGGAAATGTATGCACCTTGAGACAATAATCTTATGTGAAATAAATTAGACACATGAGCTTAAATATCACATGGTATCTTCTATGTGAGAAAACCAAAGCACAGATAAACAGCAAAATAAAACATAATAAGAAGTAGGGAGGCAGATCTTTCTCAAAGGGCAAGATGATCAAGAGATACAGGAAAAGGCAAGGGAGAGGAAGGAAATGGCTTGAAAAAAGGAATTAAACTGAGTTGTGTATACATACGAACTCTACACAAGGAACGTAAACATTATGTGTTGCAAACATGTACAAACAGGAAGGAATGAAGAGTTGGATGGAGGGAGTGGGAGGGAAGAGGAAAGGAATTGATATGTTTTGTACATGTATCAATTTCTCCCAAGGAATGTAAACATTATGTGCTACAGAAATGAACTAATAGCAGAGGGAAATATAAGAATTTCTGACAAAAAAAAATCCTGGTGTTCTAAAAAAAAAAGACATTCCTGAAAAACGACACCATATAAGGTACACTTGGGAGAAATGATTGATACAACTAGTTAAGGTTTTTGAAGTTGAGGGTAGAAATTTACTGTGACAGTATTGGCCAAGCATGGTGGCACAAATCTGTTATTCAAGCACTTGAGAGGCTGAGGCAGGAAGATGGTAAGTTTGAGGCCAGCCAGGGACTGCATAGTAAGTTCTATGCCCATCTGAACTGTATATCAAGACCCTGTCTCAAAATAAATAAACTAAAGTGAGACTAATTGTCAACTTTTAAAAAATAACAGTTTTGGGTAAGTTTGCACAATAGTAAAAAAATCCCCATATACTTCATTTTAATATTTTTGGAGTTTTAAAAAATTTATTGTTGTTATATTTCTTGTTCTCATTTCACAAAACAAATATAAAGGCACAAATAAATCTGGAATCAGACGGAAAAGTATCTGTAATTCATTGCATTTTCTCTTTTTCTTGAAGACAATCATGCCAAAAAGATGAGTGTGTCCCGTTGTAGATCTTACAGTTATCTATATTAAAATTATACCATTACTCAATGTATGGAAAGTGGCTTCTCATGTTGTTTTCATCCTCTTTGTCCTTAAATCAAGGAAGGAGAGCAGTATGGCTTGTATCTAGATGTCCCCCCAAAGCTTCATGCAGTCATAATAGGACTTTTTGGAGGTGGATGAGCCTAGGGTGTGTGCTGCTGGGATCAAAGACATAATGCTGGGATTGACTCATGATGTGATGCTAGGATTAAGATTGCACACCACCTCCCAACCCCCACTGTGAGTGCTACTCAGAGTGAGTAGCCTGGATAAACTATAAGGGACAGAAAGAGTGTTAATTCTTGTTGCTTGTAGCTTGCTGCTTTTGCCGCCTTCTGCCTGCTGTGAATTGTTTTGTTTCTTCTGGGATGCCCCTTTGCCATGCTATACTGTCTTGGAACCAGTCAACTGTGGACTGAAACCTCTACAAACTGCGAGCTAAATAAACCTTTCTTCCTTTAACTGAGGAATTTTATCCCAGCAATGTGAAAAGTACCCAAGACAGAGATGCAAATAGAGTCCAAAGTCATGCTTGGTTTGCCTCCAGGCTGGCTCACAAGATGTCATCAGATGGGATCTGAGGAGTTAGCCTAAAAAAAGTGGTAACCTGAAGTCAGCCCTCTGAGTAGTAATGAAAAGAATTTCAGGGCTCATAGAAGCATTTTACTGGGCAGAATTAAAATGCACTCAAAGAAAATAGAGTATGAGCTTTCAAAAGAGAGTGCCCCTAATGTTATAATAACTTAAAGGCACAGGATTTCATTTACTTGATAAAGCAATCATTCAAAATAAATTGCCATCATAGAATCTCTCACTTTTATGTATCTCACACAAAGTTTATTTTAACATATGAATATCCTATTCCTATAAAGACTAAAATATTATATCAAGTTCAGGTATTAAGAACTTCATTGTTCTTACCAAAGATGTTGAAAAGATTTCAAAATATTTTCTATATGAAAAGAAAAACATGCTAATTTCCCAGTATACATGAAAATAACTTTTAAATTTATTATTTTAATTTTTCAACATCTTATGTTACAAATTTCAATTTATGAAAGATCTCTTTTTTTAATACACTAAGGTAAGGTAAAATTTTAACAAAAGTTGTCTTAGTTACTTATTAATTATCACTGAAACAAAATAGCTAATGCCCAAAGTTGAGAAAGCAAAGGTTTATTTCTCACAGTTTTTGGAGGTTTTAGTCTATACTTGGTTGGCTCCAAGGCAGGGTGGCATGGCAGGACTGCAGTTTATGGTGGCTGCAAACAGCAAGTTGGAAAACCCGCAAAAGAGATGCATGTTCTTCTTGCCATTACATTGTATGTTGACTCCACCCCTAGATGGATGTAGCACAGATACCATCAATCCAAACACTAGCCAATGAGCAAATCACAAATGCACAATGCAAACGCATGAGGCATGGGAGCCACAGACATAAACCATGACATTCTACCCCAGGCCCCAGGACTCATGTACATCTTTTATATAAAAGATATTTAGTCTATCTCTAAGAGTTGTTAAAGTCCTAACAGTTTTAGCATTGCTGAAAAGTCTAAGCTTTAAGTCTCCTCTAAGATCTATGGCAAACTCTTAACTGTAACCCCCTGTATAAAGCAACAAGGTTAAACATTTTTGAAATGCAAAGGCACAAGATAAACATTATCATTCTAAAAGTTATAAACAGGGGAATATAAAACATTAGAAACAAAGCCAGTCCAACATCTAGTAGAGTAAACATTAAGTCTTGAAGTTTTACACTCAGCATTTGAAGCAGTTTGGTTATAAGCTTTAAAAGGCTTGGGTGATTTTACCCCCACAGCACTTTTAGGGATTTTAGCTTTTGTAGCTTTTTTTTTAAACCCTCCCTGCTCGTTTTTTGTAGCTTTTTTTTTTTTTTTTTTTTTTTTTTGGATGATCTACAGTTTTGGCTTTTTTAAATTTTGGGGGTTTCTACTGTATCTTTGGCTTTACCCTTATATCTTTATAAATTACCCTCTCAGGGGCTCACTGGTTGGCCTCTAAGGCCCTTTGTAATCGAGGTGGAAGCCGTCTTACCCTTAGAATTTGTGCATTTTCTTTGCACCTAAAATCGGTGGCATGTGGATCATGTGGATGCCACCAAGGTCTGCTGTCAGCTGGAGCAGCAACCAGGCTTTTTTTTTTTTTTTTTTTTTAGCTGTAAGGGGTTAGTGGTTTGGATCACTGGGCTCTGTTTACGTGATTG